TATTGCTCTATATGATCTTTAGGAATACTATTATGCGCGAGAATTTTATTTTCGCGAGGACACTGTCTCGCGTAATTACGCGAAAATAAAGTTCTCGCGAATAAAAAGTGATTTACAGTAGATCATGGCGTTATAAGAGACGAAATTTACGCTTGCTTTCGTGCGCCGGTGTACACTTATATTCTTTCTTTATTTTTTCAATAATTTTCTTACAAGTTGTGATATCATCATGAAACTTGAAGTGCATGATCATAAAATGTTACTCTTTGCTATGACAAGGAAAGAAATTTAATAAAGTAAAGAGAAACAAAACTGTTTTCCCTGTCTACGACTTTTTGGGACAACCCTCGTACATGTTGTTACATTCAAATGTCCTATTAACAAACATTTTTGTTAATATATCATGTTCCATTCCGCTTATTAACCTTAAATGCTTGTTGATGGCGTTTTTGCAATTTTCAGAGCTGCTAAATCATCACTATTGACTTGGGAAGATGCTAAATCATACCGGGTATGATAATTAAAGGTGAGGAAAATTTCTCGAGTATAACATTGCGTGCATGCTTTAATATACGATGCAAGATATTCGTTTCAAATGTGATACAATTGAAATGATAAATTTCAGTGAAACAATCAGGATGGAACATGCAGAGTGACAGGGAGAGATTTCGTCTACGCCTCTTCCTAAGTATTCATCAAACTTTAATTTATCCGCATGGATCTTTTTGAAACACTTCTATAAATGGACAATTTTCAATGCTTAAAATACACCGGAAATATGATAAAATGTATATATTAAACTGTCGTTAAAATCTCGGAATAGGAAATAAGGAAGCCATTTTTAGCCGGGCTTATTGCTCAAAGAGCAATTGCCGGCTTATGTGATCCTGTTCAAGGCAGGATGTTGACCCCATAGTCGCCATTTTAAAGTTACGTGCAAAAATATAGTTCTTACTCTCAACCGCTTTTGAGATAATACAAACGCTAAATAAAGAAACAAAAATAAAACGAAGTTTTATCTACTAAGTATATAAAATAAACATTAGTAGTAATGACTTTGAAAACTTCATAAGTCAAAGAACATTAGCGTAAGGATTTTTGATAATCAGTGTTACCGTAGTTCTCTACACATACGAGGTAAAGCAGGAGAGGGAACCAAACTGGCCTGTTTGTTTACATCCAGCTGCGGTACCAGATTAATTCTGATTCTGACAAAATCGGACCGTGGTATTAGGATTGAAAAACTCACTGTCAGTGTCTTATCATTTATATTGATACTTTTAAAATAATTTTTTCATCAGAATATAAACGTGATTCATGTAAGAAATCAATTCTACTCTGTAAATGAGCCTGACTCTCTGTACTTCTGAGTACTTTGATTATTTACAGAGATGAAAACTAGTATTAAAACAATTTTAGAGATGGACCTTATCATGCTTATTTAGTTGAACCGTACATTTATGTGGGTGTTTTGTCGGTTGTTCAGTCATGTCGCATCGCGATTTTTAGGTCACCTGAGTAACTCAGGTGACCTATTGCTATCCGTTTTCGTCCGTCGTCGTCCGTCGTGCGTCGTGTGTTAACATTTGAACATTTTCAGCTTCTTCTCTGAAACCACTGAACCAATGTCAACCAAATTTGCTAAACAGCATCTATGGGTGAAGGGAAACAAAAATTGTGAATTTCATGATCCCTGCCCCCCTGGAGCCTGAGGGGTGGGGCCAAAACCTCTAAAATTATTGCAATCTTTAAAAATCTTCTTCTTTACTCCTGGACACCAAGCAGGCAAACTGTTGGCATGAATGTAATGAACATTGAGTCTTCTACCAAAATTGTGAAATTCATCGCCCCAGGGTCAGGGTTCTAGTGCTAGGGCGGGGCTATATAGATTATATAGTGAAAATGCATTATTTCTTTGAAAATCTTCTTCTCTGCACCTGGGTATTAAATAAACTAACTGAGTACATAGTTATGATGGGCAAGAGTGCCTCTTCCAGATTTGTGAATTTTATGGCCCCAGGTTCAGGGGTTCTGGTGTTAGGGCAGGGCTCTATTGATTATATAGTGAAAATGAAAATTTTCTTGAAAATTTAGTGAAAATGAAATTTTTTTGAAAATCTTCTTCTCTGCTTCTGGATATCAAATAAACTAACTAAGCACATAGTTATAATGAGTAAGAGAGCCCCAGGGTCAGGGGTTCTGGTGTTAGGGCGGGGCTCTATTGATTATGTAGTGAAAATGCATTTATTCTTTGAAAATCTTCTTCTCTACTTCTGGGTATTAAATAAACTAATTAAGTACATAGTTATGATAAGCAAGAGAGCCTTTTCCAAAATTGTGAATTTCATGGCCCCAGGGTCAGGGGTTCTAGTGCTAGGGCGGGGCTCTATAGAATATATAGTGAAAATGCATTAATTCTTTGAAAATCTTCTTCTCTGCTTCTGGGTATTAAAAAAACTAAGTAAGTACATAGTTATGATAAGCAAGAGTGCCTCTTCCAAAATTGTGAATTTTATGGCCCCAGGGTCAGGGGTTCTGGTGTTAGGGCGGGGCTCTATTGATTATATAGTAAAAATACATTAATTTTTTGAAAATATTTTCCTTTGCTTCTTGGTTTTATGCCAATGATCCAAGTACATGTATATATATTTATGATAAAGAAAGGTGCATCTAGCAAAGTGTTTTTTTATGCCCCCTGGGTCAGAAGGGGGGGGGGGGGGTTACATAGTCTGAAAATAAATTAATGTTTTGAAATCTGCTCTTTGGTATTAATCAACCATTTTATGATAAAATTTGCAAAATTTTGAAATATGTTGCCCCTGGGTCAGTGGTTCCTTTGGGGTGAGGTGCACAACTGGGTATAAAGTGGAAGTGCATTTTCTCTTTGTTATTCTGATCTACCTCTGGGTATTAAGTAAATAGAGTAAGCATGCTAAGTTAATAATTATGATAAGCAATGGTGCCTCTTTCAAAATTGTGAATTGTGAATTTCATGGCCTCTGGTTTAAGGAAGGCCCACACTGTTACGGATCCGGTTCTAATTTTACACATCAATATAAAATTCTGATTTTCACTTTTCTATTGATATAAAATTTTTTGGGTGATTGAAAATGATTTAGCAAGTATATATTTGTTTATTATAGTGTTATTGTGCATATGAAGCATTTAATATACATTATTTATGGAAATTAACACTTTGCACTCTGTCCATAAGATCTATATGTCATTTAGTATATACACAGACACAAAATTCTTAATCGCTTTTATGGACCTATATCTTTTTTAAATTTCTTTTAAGCAAACTAACCTGAGATCTATTTTTATTGATTTAGAGCCTATATCATCCATTTAATTTTTACTTTTTAAAAATTTTGCATTGAATGATCGAAAAAATTGATATTCCAAAAATGGGGGTATACGTCTTCAAAAGACTGTTTTGTTAAAATTCTCTGGTCAACCATAATAAAGTAGCTGTTATTGTTAACATTAGATATAATTCTTAATAGTTTTAAAGAAAAAATGGCATCTAAACATTTTGGATTTTGAGAATTATAAAAAATAAAGATATTTTGAGATTTTTTTCTGAAAGACATGGACAGATTCAACACCAATTTGTTAATGTTTTACAGTAAAGATTTCAAATATTCTCTTGGCAAATGAATATTTTTGATCTTCATAAGTTTTAACATAAATTTGATGTGATTTGGTGCATAACTAAGAGAAATATGATATCACACTTTTTTATGTTCAATTTTGGCTGTTGAGTTTTTAGAGGTATGTGCGCTGAGACATGTTGTATGAAAATTAACCAGCAAAGATATGTCTTTTATGGGTGTTTTGGTAAGTTTAAGACTTGTTCAAGGTATTCAAATTGAAAAATGATCAGTTTGACAGAAAATTCTGAAAGTACGGACCTACCTTAAAACGCGAACCAAATTTAATTGTTTGAAAGTTGTTACACAATACTCAGGTGACCTATAAGGCCCGTGGGCCTCTTGTTGAAAATTTTATTTTAATGTTAAAAATGTGTTATTATGATAAATTTGTATGTAACTTAAACTTTTATGATCAATTAGACTAACATAAAGCAGAAGAATGACTTCAATATACAATGCAATATACATGTTTTATATAAGAAATCATTATTTTACAGGACGACAATAATGTAATTTTGAATCATTCGTTTATTAATAGTTCTTCTATCACAAATATGAACAACAGAAGTACTTCTATCACAAATATGAACAACAGAAGTTTATTAACGCTATTTTTTTCTGTCATTGAAAAAGTTATTTACAATATTGCTACAAAAAATTCTATCATTAAAATTGCAGCTCATATTGCTTTAAGAGCAGTGAAGGAGAAAATTTATCAATACTGTTTGAAAACACATGTATTTTAGAAGTGATGCATAATCATATTATCATAAGAAACAACTTCTAAAATAAAACTGAAACTCTTGAATATTCTTCCTTGTATTAGGTCATCCTCAGACTTACTTTTGATTTCTTACTGATAATACTGTATTTATAACGTATTTGGAGACCAATTCTTCCGCAATCTGACAACCACCCCCTAACTTTTGAAAACCTATCTCACTTTCCAAGTTATAAAATTTAACGTTGTCTTTAGATAATCTCCTTGCCATACGATTCCAGCCAACCACCATTTACAGAATGTTTTAAAATAACAGAGATTTACACTGAAAAATTAATACAGCGTCGAGGAGAATGCATGGGGAAGTATCATTGTCCTGTTTCTTCTGAAGTGTTCATTGAAGTTTTATTTTAAAACGTTCTATTAAAGGTCAAAAATGTTATTAACGTAATTCTAACATAATATTTATAGTGCTGTACTTGAGCATAGAGGGGGAAAATAATTGTTAGATTCATTTTCGTTAAAAGTCAATGATATAACGAAATAAGATTTGATTTTATTTAGTTTTTCTTAAAGGAAGAGTAAATGTTGTTTCTGTAACATTTCATATACACGGTGTGTATAATGGGATTAACCTATTCAGTAGGGCCGCACATTTGTTTGTTCATAGTACCAGTTGTGACACAAGAAACAGGACAGAAATGGACAGAAAAGGAGCTAGGAAGATTCAACATCTGTCCGTAAGTTAAGGACACTTGAAATGAAAGTCGTTTTTAATTAGAAAAAAATACTTTATATAATTTGAAGTTTCAAAAAGAGTATTACACATATATATATATATATATATATATATATATATATATATATATATATATATATATATATATATATATATATCATTTGTAATCGTACAATACGATTGCTCCCTGGTCTATTGAGTATTGAAACAACATTGAAATACACATCTGATTTTCAAGATCTTGTTAATTAATATAACTAATTATATTCATTCATTTTCTATTTAAGATCAGATACTTTCGGGATTTTAAGTTGTTGCTACGGTTACACCCGAGATGAACACGGATCCTGCACAGGTTTCATCTTTAAAAAAAAAAATCATAACACCAATTCCTAAGAATTCAAGAACGTTCAAGAAAAAAAGAAACATCAAATTAATTTCCTTTTTTTCTGTTCGTATATTTGAAAAGCACATTGTACAGCTCTAAAAGCTAACTTGCCCTATTCAACCTAACATGCTTTATGAACAAAATTCCCATTGTGAAAAGAATTGTTTGCAATGTGATCAAACAGCTTTTGAATACTGTATAACTTACAAAGTTTCCTGTTCTTTCAGTCTGTCCCCCTGGAACATTTGGAGCTAATTGTGAAAGCATCTGTCCTCGTGGTACATATGGAACTCATTGCAAACTTTCGTGTGGTGACAAGTGTTCTGAATGTCATCAAGTTTATGGATGTCAAGGTAGGTCTGGTGGGGAGTACTGTGATTATCTATATTTCGGTTTAAAAAAAGCCTAAACGATTTTCTCTATATACTTAATAATCGAAAACAGCCAAACAGCTGATATCCAAAAGTCTCTATTTCAGCAATAGAATTAAATAAATCTTTGAAATATTTTGATTGAGCCTTCATCAGTGGTTAATTATATTTTATTATAAATATTATTAATATTATTAATATTTATTATTTTAATATGAACTTCTAGAAAACCGGACCTCTTTTCCTGGGGAAAAGTATATGTTGACCCTTCACAAACACGAGTACCCTACAACTTGGCCTGTCAGTGCCATGATAGTGGTTACCGCAGTCTCTACCTGCCTGCTGATGTGTTTAATCATACAAACTGTTGTCTGCTGTCGGAAAAGAAAGTTAGTATGACCAACGTCATTTTTTGTGTTTGCACACTGATCATAATCTAGCACAATTATACCCGCACTTTTTAAGGAAAGTTCGGGTATACTAGTATTATATTGTTGTTATTCTGGTTCGTCAGTCCATCTGTCACATTGGGGCCAAAAATGATGTTTAAAGTGCCTGATCTGCTTAAAATATCTGCAGTAACGAATTTTCTTTTGAGAATAAATAGTCACTTGTGATTGGACAATTATAGGTTACAGGATTCTTACTTTCTTTGGAGACTAAATGCAGCTATAAAATGTTTATTTTATACGATATATCCCGGTGAGCTTGAAATAAAAAGAGTATGACATATCTGATTCATATTTGGATATTTTACTTGAAAAAGACGTTAATGGTAATCTAACAACTAAGCTATTTGATAAACGTGATGACTTTAACTTTTCGATCGTCAACTTCCCTTACTTATGCAGCAATATACCTTCATATGGAGTTTATCTGTCATCGATTCGATATGAAAAAGCATGCTCTACGTATGAACAATTTCTGAAACGAGATTTATTATTGACAAACAAGTTGATGAAACAAAAAGATCAGCAGTTTCGTTTAAATTTCGTAAGTTCTGTGGTCGATACTATGACCTTGTCAGCAAATACAATTTAACATTGAGTCAAATGCTGACTGACGTTTTTCATACTAATTGTTAGGCCATTATTTACACTCTGAATTGACAGCGGATTTAGTTCCTGATCATTACAAGGAGCAATTAGCCAGTCTGACCGGTCCAACGAGAAAGTATTATGACAGTATATACATGCTCACTCCTCCAAGGCACCTGATCCCACCTCTAATATTTTGTAGGTCCGTGTTTGCTCTGCTTCTATTTTATATTGTTTTGTTGACTTTTGTGCTTGAATACTGTTTGTTATTTCCATATATTTCATTTCTTTGGGGACCAAATGCAGATCTAAAATGTTTATTTAGAACATATCTTAAGCTCTTCATCATAGCTCAATCATATTTTGAAGAAGTCAGGGCGTATTCTGAAGATGTACATTTGGGTGTCAGAATACAAGTATGGAATTTTGACCTGGGGTTATTTGTGAAAAAAAATCGACTTAACACCAAAATATGAATAATTAGAGGCAAACACCTGAGCTATGGTTTGTTTTCAATTTTTCCGTCCTATTTTGAAATTTTGTTCAATTGATAATCTTTTAAAATACTTTCTTTTAACATGTTTTATCTCCAGTCCTTCACAAATATGTTTAATTAGTACATATTACATGTACTTTTTAAATTTTATTCAAACTGTGGGTTACACACAATATTTGATAATAATAAAATGATTCTCATATACATGTAGAAAGAAGACAGGGTCTGAAAATTTAACAAACGTGACAAAGAACACACAATATTACGGACTTAAACCAAACACAGGACAAATACACATGTACGCTGAACAGTACAATGATGTGGAGGAATCCAGTACCCTATCAACCAAAAACGTCACCTTACCGCATCGGAAGTACGACTACGTTGATGAACATCCTGTAAGAAAACTAGAGAGTTCTACAGAATTAAGAGGAAAATCTAATAACGGAACAAAGTATTATGGCAGTGATGAGGATAATATCAGAAGTAAAAATAAATCATCAACCAGGGACCTGCAATACAGTTTAGTTAAACCTGGAACTTCTTCACAATTATTCAGGCAATCCACCGATCAATATCTAGAAGGAAACGGAACAGAAGACTATTTAGATCCCGTTAATGCAGAATCTATTGGTTACAAAATGTGACTTGATTAAGTTACGAAGTCCTCTAACAATAAACATATATGTCTTTAATGATGAAAGCATAAAAATCAATGTCTTTTGAAGTACAAGCTATCAGGGAATCTATAAGATAGTGCGTAATAGCTGGGAGTGTTTATTTAACAAAATGATATAATCAGCCGTAAAATTCATGTTTGTAGTTATTATGATTCCTTTAAAATTAAATGTATACTGTTTATGTAAAAGAAATTCAAAATTTGCTAAATCGCCATTTTGTCCCCCACTTTTGTGAAAGCGAGAAGACATTAAATCTCATTTATCTGTACGTCTGTCAGTTCGTCTCATCTGTCACAAATTTTTTAACCTTTGTCATGACCTTTGAATAAGAAGAGACATTGCTTTCATATTTTACATGTTCATCACCCGTGACAAGACCTTTTCAAATATACTATGAGCTTTGATCTTGAAGTTTGACCTACTTTTAATTTTTTTTTTAAAATTACATGTACTTTAAATTGGTATTGAATTTTGACCTGGAAGTGATTGGTGTGGAAAAATATTTAAGGCTTTCATATTACCTGTGACAAGATGTTTCTGTACAATGATTTATAACCCATTTACCATCACCCTTATGTTTGACCTTATTTAAAAAAAAAAACTTTGGTGATTACTGTTGACTGGCAAATGAAAGGGCGTTCATATTTGACGCAATATGCCATTAATACTGACATCCAATCCACCAAGACACCTAAACCTGGTGACCACAATTCTTTGAATTTGACTGTTTCATTTTGTATTGAGTACCACTACTAAGTCAGAAACGTACTGACATTCCCATTTTTTACTGATAAACTTAGAAAATTACTGACAATGTGCTGTCGTTACTGAAAAACTTAGACAATTACTGACCCTTTTACTGCCGGTGCTGATAAACTTAGAAAAGTGCTGACAATCTTAGTCGGTGACTAGACTTAGACAATTACTGACCCGTTTACTGTCCCTGCTGAAAAACTTAGACAAGTGCAGACATTTACTGATAATTACTGACCCTATTGTTCTCGCTCTTGGGGAGGCTGCAGTGGTGTGAAAATGACTGTGTGCTATACTTTGTATTTAAAAACAGTCTTATTTTAATTTTTGATGAAAAAAATCCCTGGCAGTTATTATTTTTTTTAAATCTAAATATTATTGTTATCTGTAAAATAATTCAGAATATGTATTGAAATTTACTATTGTGTAAATCAAGTTTAATTTATGAGTTGAATATATCTATCCCTGTTCAATTAAAGAATTAAAATTAATTAATCATCAAGTTAGCTTTAATCTATTTATTTCTTTGCAGACAGATATCTGACTTTAATGTAAAGCCCCCCCCCCCCACCCTTTTTTCACGATCGGAAAGTTGTATCAATTTTCTTTTCACAAACAGGACAGATGTCTCTTATTAAAAAAGGAAATCTTCTAAATATTGAATAATTACCGATAGGTAATTCAGTTTCCTAATGTTCTCGAACATATCTGTACAAGTCATATAATTATGTAACGTGAAGCGGTCACCCATCCAAGGGGGAAACAGGCTCGCCGTTACTTAACTTGCCTGAAATAGAGGGAGACTCTACCGCATCACCAGAAAAGCTAGCTCACTAGCGAAGCAGTATAAGTTCCCTATATACTGTCCGCTACAATTATATACCCCTGTTCAGGCGCGTAGTGCTCATCGTTTTTGGAAGTGGGGGGGGCCAACCTGAGAAAATTTTTTTTTACTTACCTGAAAAAGTTGACAAGCAAAAAAAAAAAAAAAAAAAAAGGAAAAGTTAAAAGTTGCACGAAGTCGAAAATCCTATTTCGTGGGGGGGGGGGGGGGGGGGGGGGGGGGGGGGGGGGGGGGGGGGGGGGGGGGGGGGGTAGTGGCTAACTTTTCTCAAGACCAACTATCTTTCAATTCAAACTTTTTGGGGTTAATTTTCTTATAACACTACACTTTGCTGAAATGTGGGGGGGGGGGGGGGCAACCTTCCTTTCAGTAAACATTTTCTATAGTAAAGGTAATGTCGGGAGAAAAAGTGGGGGGCCTGCCCCCCCCCCCCCCTGATACTACGCCCCTGCTGTTTAAGATTTCCGGTTTCATTTGCTCATACGGGAGTTCCCCTTTTGAACAGTGCAGTGTTCAATATATAAACTTGTACTATGCCTTGTTGATTTTGTCACTTAAAACATTGTATCTAAATGAATGGTTGGTTGATCGAATACGCAGGGTTCATAAGTACTCAATATCTGTAAGTCCGAGACTAATAAATAATTATCAGACTAGTGATAAAAATTCAAGTACTAGCAATTATAGTAATCTTACGGAAAATATTAATTTATATTTACTAGGTCAGCGGTAAGACTAATATTAGCAGTAGCACCATTTTTCTCCAATATTTTTCTTCTCTCTCTCCCTCCCTCTCTCTCTCTGTTAAAAATACAAACAATAAGTAAATAAAAACAAATAAAAAAAAAACCTTAATACTTGACAAGTGCTCCGTTTATTCACAATGCCGAGGGGGTTAGATCACTATTTAGTTTTTGAACTTAATCTTTAAGTATTTTTTAATCATGATTCAATTTTAACAAAAATATTACATGTTTCATAACTTCCAATTTCCTCCTGTAGCTATCGGTGAATTGTAATTAATTTAATTTTATGTGCTGAGATTAAATTCATCTCATTAAAGTAGGTAGGCGTGGGGGTGTTATGATGTTAACGTAATAATAAGGCAGAGGGCGGACTTGTCTAGTAAATTATTTTACGACGTAGTGAAATTGGAAGTCATTAGTCCGTTGAACCAGTGCTCACAAATATTTATTTCGAACCCTCTAGCATTCATGTATAACCCCCCCCCCCCCCCCTACACACACGTTACATGAAAAAAAATCTAGTACACCGGTATTTGAATTTTATAAATATAAAAGTGTGTAAGTTTTTTGATTGATGCAAATTTCTTTGTCCATTTGATCAATTTATACCCGTAATCATTATTTATTTGATTCATGTTTCATTAACATCTTTCCTTTTCATCAGAGTAAGATTATTCGCTAACTGTAAGTGCCCATTATCTACCGTGTTGAGTAACCATTCAACTCTCTCTTTCTCTCCCTCCTCTCTCTCTCTCTCTCCAAAAAATCAATATCGACCCAGGCAAAGTTTAAAATATAGTTAAACTCCGGCTGTTTTTTTAACTGTCATAATATTCTGCATATAAATTGTATTTTATTTTTAATTATTCTTAACTACTGATAAAAAGGTGAGGAAATATACTATGAACTATTTTTTACTTGATTTGTTAATCAAACAAGTTCCTCACTCAACTGTCCCACACACACACTAACACGACTTAACAAAAAATATTAGGAACCAGTAATTTTTACAAAACTTTGGATGTAATGTTTCCCTTCTCATATATTTATTTTTGCTTTAATCTTTAAACAATTTCTGCCTTTTCCCGGTTGGTTTTTACATCAATCTTCTTTTTTCATTAATCGTTAATTTTTTCTTACGTCGGTATATTAAAAAAAATATTTATTTAATCTAAAAAGAGGTTGAAGGTTTGTAGATTGTATAATTATTTATATTACGTATGTGTTGGTGTTGAATTTCTCAAATTCTGACTGTCTTGAAGAAGAGTCTACCTGTCGCCGTAATGTTGCGTAACTAACTTCCAGTGAAATATATATATATATATATATAATATAGTGACACCTATATATCTTCTTTACCCGCTATATACACATATATCGCCTCAGGCGATTTATATATATACACACAGGTGCTTCACAGAGTTTCCGATTGTATCTTGAATGATTATGTAATTCGGCTGGATACCAGCTAAACGACTTGAATAATTTGGACGAATAAAAAGCACAGTGTTACTGTAAAATCATGATACTATTTTCGATATCGAACAAAGCTATGAAACGTCGATTTATTAAGTTAATTTATTATATTTAATTAAATTTATCAAATTTTTTACCTAAACAAATAAAAATGAGTTCAAACTTAAACACGACAGTATTAATTGTGTGTTCTACTTTAGTAAAATAAATAAGTACATGTTCATCGTTCTACATTTAGCACGTGCCCCCCCCCCCCCCATTTTAATTTGAAAAAGAAACTAGATCCATGTGAACGTCTACCGACACTCTAATTGGAAAGAACATTGATATTAATTTCTATCAAAGTTTTGTTTCAGGAGTATGCATAGACAAATGATGATAATATAAAATGTCATAGTTTTACATGTATTTGAATTAAAATAACACTTTCAGGTGGGGTTCCAGAAAATCCAGATTCGAGAATCAGCTAAAAGATGTACATTATTTCAAAAGAATAATGCGGACAGTGACTAAATCAATGAATGTCAAAGATCAACGATCAATCCAGGCCCCCCTCCCCCTGCCCAATAAATAAAATAAAAAAAAATTAAATCCCCCGTCTGTCTTTTAATTGTTCAGTGTTTTTTTCTTAAATTGCAAATTCTTGGATTCGGGTATGTTTGACTGCACAAAAACAAATGTGGGCGGCCTCCACATAATTAAAAATTTTACATAATATGAAAACTTTAACAAACGCCTTCCCTCAAAAGAGGGCACCCATGGCCTCACCGTGCGCTATGAGTTTATTAAAATTATTCAAACTAATTAAAATATATCAAATTAAAATTGAATAAAACACATCTAGCCTAACAGTTTAATTCTTTAAATTAATATTAAAGAAAGTCAGGGAATTAATGTTAATTTAAAAAAATATTATAAAATGCATGTCATGTAATAACATTGTTTTATTATAAAAAGGAAAAGACCTCTGTAAAATTTCATATCTCACTACTAAACGAAGATTTTTAGTTTTTTTTTAAATTGCTTATCTTTTTGAAGGTTTTGAAATTTTATCCCTTCTCTTGAAAATATTTTTTTACAAATCAATTTTCTATAAATCGATCAAATAAGCTTTTTTTTTTTCAAAGACATCATCTGGACATAGTTAAAAATTATATGAAAAAAACAAATAAATAAAATAATTATCTATGTTAAAATAAAAAAAAAAATCAATTCAATCAATTCCACACTACTGCAGCTACTCCGAGAGCGAGAACAATAGGGACAGTAATTATCAGTAAATGTCAGCACTTGTCTAATTTTTTCAGCAGGGACAGTAAACGGGTCAGTAATTGTCTAAGTTTTTCAGCACCGACTAAGATTGTCAGCACTTTTCTAAGTTTATCAGTACCGACAGTAAAAAGGTCAGTAATTGTCTAAGTTTTACAGTAACGACAGCACATTGTCAGTAATTTTCTAAGTTTGTCAGTAAAAAATGGGAATGTCAGTACGTTTTTGACTTAGTAGTGTACGTACATGTGTGTCAAGGGATTGATTGTAACATGGAAATAAACAAGGTACTTGATCTTTGTTCCATGGTTTTTCTAAATCAGAATATATACGTTTATGTATAGAGAGAGAGAGAAAGAGAGAGAATTGGAGTTCCGCTCTGGCTCTATTGGTATTATTTTGTCGCTTGTTTCCTTTTTAAAAAAATGGACGAATATACATGTTTAGTATTTACAAGGAAACATAAAATGAATGTCTAGTAAGTGTATTAATCTCAGCTGCATAAAGTAGAAAATAATTAAACTCATTGGCATAAAGCATATTGTCTTAGGATTTATTGATTGTCCCATCCCATACTTCACTGTACCACAATATGATGTAATACATTTCAAGAAGGTAAGTCATTTCTGTTTTCGTTAAATGCAGATCTTAACATTTTCCCATAAAATATTTCCCTTATAAATACCATTTCTAGAAGATTTGGATAGATATGACCCACATTTTACATTCTTTGAAAAGGTCAATGACCATGAGCTAGATACATACACGATTATTAATACTCCAGTTTTGATTTCTGATTTTTTTCATACACTATAACTTAGAGAGTAGAGATGCCAGTCTGTGATGGACAAACGATTGACAAGTTCCTGGTCACCTTGTGTTCGTTCTTGAGTGTATGCATCATCCTCTTAATTTGTATTCTCCTGAACATTCTCTTCAAACACAGGTATGATAGCTATGTTCAACGCAAGAGTCTTTAATTTGAGAATGACAAAGTACTAGTTTTAAACGCGTATTTCAGAATTCATAGAAAAATAGATAAAGTATTCAAAAGGCAGAATGTCTGATCCACATCTTGTGCATTGCTTACGCACAATCAAAGTATCTTTTAATAATTTAATTTTGTTTGTATTCTAGTCTCTCATTGGTTGATTTCCAAAAAGGAACGCAAAATATTTCTCAATAGCCTGGTTTGGTATGGGGACACACCCCCTTGACAACCAGCTGAATCATCTGTATCCATGCAATCCCCTCATTTCCAGTCCTTGGGATTCATGGAAAATTTCAGATTTAATAAATGTACCTTTAACTTCAAACATTATCTCGATCTTACCTCGTGTAAACAAACATCATGGCTGCTAGATCTATGTTTCAGTTATTACCTCCCTTTGTTTCATATCACTTCCGTTACTAGGGATGTATTATTGAACGGCAAATTTGAACTCATAAGAAGCAGCACAATTTTACACCCACATTTGTTTAATTATTTTAAAATTAAATCATAAGGAATGACTCTAATTCTTGGCCAAATTATTCGATTATAACCTGGATTGTGTCAGTTTACGCTTTTTTATAATCAGCTTCGCGGATTATAAAACGTAAACTGACCCAAACCAGGTTATAATCGAATAATTTGGCCAAGAATTAGAGTCATTCCTTAAATAAATACTTTAAAAAGAACAGTGCAATGCATAAATATTTCATGGAACATGAAAGAAAATCCATTGCAAAGATTATATTTTGATTACGAAGTTTAAAAGTCGCTGTCCCAGAAGAAAGTCCTTAAATGTGATATGATTGTAAAAAAGTTGTCATTCTGTACCTGGTTAGCACATCATGCACAATTCTTCTTACTTTTTATCACAGTCATGTGTTTAACTTGCTTGATATTGTCATAAGAGTAAATAAATTTATAGTGATTGTGTAATCTTCACATTTTATGCAAAAATTCCTTTGAAAAATTCAAAATTGTATGGTTTCAAAGTGAAGACCTTTACAGATACTTATATGATTTTTATATTTACTTTGTAGAAGACACTTGAAGGGAAAGTTGACAATATCAAGAAAGAAGACCAAACCTGTCGTCAACCCGACATACGAAGAACAAGAATTGAGCACGATTGTAACATCCTACGATCAGATTAGTCTACAACCTTAACAGGAGATCATTTCATCGTTCTTTCCGTCCTTCAATCAATTTTATCCTCCTCTTCATATGAGAATTTGGTTTCTGATGACATTGATTGTCAAAAGTGTGTATTTCCGAATATCGTATTATGTTAATGAATAACATGGTAAAACTAATCAAACACCTGTTTCGGAGATGTTTATGAGTGCCTGTTCATTACAAACTACAAAAAGGCAACAGTCTATCTTATTTGCAATAAGTCAGCTTATGAAATTTCGAAATCATTCCGCAGATTTTTGGAAACTTAAATATGAATTTTTGATTGGTGAATATTAATTCTTCTTGATAAGGACATGTCAATATCAAGGGAAATAAATAACAGATAAAACGCAGTGGGGGTGAATTTTCAAAAGACTTTTGGCACTAATTTTGTCACTAAAAAACGTCATCTCAGACGTATATACTACAGAAGATTAAGAACTTTATTTTATAGATATTTCAGACATAACTTCTTAAATTATGGCGAGGTCTGTCCGGATTATACAGATTAAATAAGTTGTCTTTTTTCTTTATGGTATGGCAATATAATTATGTATTCAATTTGTATTCAATAGTATTTTTTTTAAGAATACGATGTCAAGTCTTCATAAACTTTTCAGAATGAAATTTTTCATGCATGTATTTAATACATCAAGGTTATCAAATTTGGGCATGTAATCAACAAGACTTGGCAAACAAAGTCGATATCTTGTCTTATTCATTTAATAGAATTATATTGGGAGCAATCCAGAGAGGATAGAATATCAGTTTTGGTGAGTTACATGTAAAAAGCTATACTGGAAGTTGTAGAATGGAAATTTATTTTGCTCATACATACGAGTTTTCTAATATTTGTTTCATTTTCTTTAATTTGAATCAATATGGATAAATATGCATGAAAAAGGCGAAATAATGAACTGTGATCTTCTAAAATAAAATCTACAGGCAATACATATCTGTAAATTGTAATTTCACTGAATAATCGAGAACAAGTTGTTTTTAATCATCATGTTTAATTGATAATTCAATTTATTTGAGAATTAAAATATTAAAATATCTTAGTGGACAGGTGTTTTCATGTTATTTCCTTGTGTTTGTAATCACCCCATCAACAAATACAATTATTTATAGACAAAAATACTTTGTTCCAAGAATAAGATCTAGAATTCTTTTATGATAAATGAGCATTTATGAGCGAGTGATATTGAAAAAAATCAGAACAAGGAATATGCTATTAGAAAATAAATTTAGCATTCAAAGCTTAAAATAAAAATGCGATAATTTTGCAAGTACTATAGGCGTTGAGGAGACAAGGAAAGTTTTTGAAACTCTCGAATCACGGACGCATGATGCTAAGTATTTAGCTATTAAAACTCACTATCTTGAAAAAGCATTTGACCTGTTGCAATGGTCATATTCACAGCCTCGATATGAGGGTTGGCTTTGGAGTATTAGTTCTGGACAGCTTTCTTTCTATATCTTGCACAGGTCTCGAAGACTGCAAAAATAAGTATATATCTCATTATTATTTCTTGTTAGATAACTCGAACTTCATTAAATGCGAGATTACAACAATATTTCAATTTTTTTGCACAGATCAACGTCTGAATGTTGTGAAAATTACTATCCCGAGGATACCCGATGCAAACGTAAATAATTTATGATTGATGTAGAATTTGCTTTGTTTGTCTTCTTCTCATGAATCTTCTGATATGAGAATCTTTTTATTGATTTATTTTATTTCGGATAGCGTGTATAGGTTCTTTTGGTAGAAATTGTTCGGGCGGGCCCTGTACACCGGGGTATTACGGTCATGGATGCAATGAACGGTGTGATTGTGGAACCATTGTATGTGATAGAACAAGTGGATGCCCTCAAGGTAAGGGGATTTTTAACTGTTTACTTTACTGGCGCATAGATCTATGCTGCTTTCTTTGAAAGGCAATGAAGTTTTGATTGATGGGCATCAAATTAAATATTTTTATAAATAAAAAGTTTACTTGAAAAAGCACATAACGTGTTTTAAGTTTTCCTCTTGTTTGTGCTTTAAAGAAACTAAATTATCAAAAGAGAAAAATGAAACTTATAGGAACATCAATTCTGTTATGAATACTAGTATGAGAAACTCATTAGTGATATTTCAAAAGTGTACAAAATGTTCTGTGTTTTCTTTATAAAACGGTCAAATAATTTGGAAGAAATTTCAATGCTAACTTTCATGAAACAGCAGACGTATCTTCAAAACATTATGTTAGGAACAGTGTTTCTCATTCTCTAAAATAATTTACGGCGTATAATTTTTATACTGCAGATTTGAAGACCGGAACATATCACTACTGGACTTTCATTGTTTTAGGGACGCTAGTCATTAACAGTATACCGATAACGATTGCAATTAATGCTTTCATATCGACTAGAACAAGGTTGGAATTTTTTTTTCAGTATTGCTGAACCAAAGTAAATCAAATTTCCAAGTTAATACCCAGTTTGCTATAAATGCATAAGAGAAAATTAACGGTCATTTGTATACGTATAGTGTTTGCCTACACTTCATATGAAATATAAATATATTTTATTAGACAATGGATTCTTATATTCTTTCAATCCCATAGGATCACTAGAGGCGAACAGGACAACAATCAAGAAACAGCTAGAAGAAAAAGAAAATTAAACATATTCTCAGGTGCCTTGCTAAAACGTTTTCGGAGAGCTCCGTCCTCTGATGATGATGAGGAAGATGCGGAGAATCCAAACGAAAGCAGTCTGGAATCACCTAAAAGAAGAGGGAAGTTAAATGTTTATGTTGACGCATTACTAAATCGTGTCAGGAAGGCGCCTCCTCACAATGACGTAGATTCAAATAAACCTACAGAGGATTATTTTGCTATGAGGATGTCCATGGCTCCACCAAAAGATAAAGTTCATCATTTTACAGGTGACGAAGGAGAAGATGAAGATGACATTGAAGAAGAGGAGTACGTGGAAATGAATGTACAATCTGATGAATAATTATATGTAAAAATGTAGTTCAATATAGTAAATACTAGTGATTATATCTAAACATGAATGTGCAATCTTAAGTGAATAATTATATGTAGAAATGAACGACAATTTAGCGAATAATTAAATGTAGAAATGAATATGCAATCTAGTAAATACTAGTAATTATATGTAGAAATGAATGTAATCTAGCGAATTATTATATGTAGAAATGAACGACAGTGTAGTGAATAATTATATGTAGAAATGAATGTGCAATCTAGTTAATGATACTATGTCGAAATGAATGTGCATTTCAGTTTAAAATGGCTTTTTGACATTCATTGATACCTACTTACACGTCGTTTTAATTGGTGAAATTATATTAAAATACATGCTCTTTTTATCCTCGCATAGCAATTTATCAACAAGTAGATGTCAATGATTTAAGTTTCTAATTATTAAATATTACTTGACATAAGAGGATATTATCATTTAACTAGTTTACTCAAATGCCACGGAAACCTGTATCTGTAATTGTTAAACATTTATGTATTTCTTAAGTATTTCCTTGCAACACCATTCCATTTAAATATCAAAGGAGGAACTCATTGAGAGCAATTTAATTCTAAAGCAAGAGTCTTCTAATTTTCTTGTAGAAGAAATATATCTTCATACAATAACAACAGGTCTGCTTAACCTGTTAACGTATGGCGCAATTAGAACACATGATATTTTCCAACAGATTGTTTTAAAAAAAGACTCCGTTTCCAAAAACTACTTAAGGACAGATGATACAAACAAATTTTTTCTTTGAAAAAGATTACATATCATGTCACAAGTTAAGAAATGTGGATGGTTCTTAGAATTTTTTCTCCGAAGAACTGGACTATGAAAAAGACTTGGAAAATATTAGTAATATTTCAATAAAAAACAAATCTAGACAAATCACATTCAGTAAAGGTTTACAGGTGAAAACAAATTTCAGAATATGTTAACATGGTGCCAAAAGTGTAATATAAACTTATCAAAAATTTTCCAAGCCGGGTGAATTTTATTAGGAAAAGCTAAATGGTAAAAATCAGCCTATGTAATATAGCTAATTTTTTGTCATTTTGATCTTCCTCTTAAAATTCACCTGGCTTGGTATATTTTTCTAAAGTTTATATTACACTTTTAGCACCAAGATAACATATTCTGAAATTTGTTTTCACCTGTAAACCTTCATTTTTCAGTTCTTCGGAGAAAAAAATTCTAAGAACCATCCACTTTTTTAAACTTCAGGGTTAGGGTTAGGGTTAGGGTTAGGGTGACATGATATTAAATCTTTTTCAAAGAAAAAAATTGTTTGTATCATCTGTCCTTAATTACATTTATTGTTAATGAGAAACTCGTTCAACTTCTTATATTTACATTCCGTGTATTTTTCCTTATGAAATTCATTAGAAATCCACGACATTCAAATTTCTATAACACACGCGAAACCTTGTCACCTCGCGTTAGAATACACAGTAGGAACTACATTGTATATGCATTTTTTCTATAACTGGGAACACCAAAATGTACAATGTTTTGACCCAATTTAATTAAAAACTATAATCCTGTTAAATTAACGTAAAAATACTACAAATGTGCGTTTAAAATTAATTTGTCACTTTTTTCCTCGCAATGTTTGTTTGCGTTATTCAACTTTGCAACGTCATCTGACGTCACAAACGTCTCTTACGTCTATTAACCGCGTCAGTTTTGAAAGGCGTTAAATTCACATTCAAGATTAACGAAATAAGCAATTATGAAGAAGGAAAATTAGGGAATTTAAATATAAGCATTGAATTCATATTTTTGTCTGTCTTCGGTCCTAGAACACACCTGGCCGTGCCGACAAATTTATCATACCGCGCTAACGCGCGGTATTCAATTTGTTGGCACGGCCACGTGTGTTATAGGACCGAAGACAGCCAAAAATATGAATTCAATGCTTAAGAACATTCACATGGGAGTACTTTTGTGTAGCATTAGAATGTTTTTAACATGCTAAGTTGGCAGATGGCCAGTGGTAAAAAATGCACACTTTCGAGTCGCAGTTTTATTGAACTAGCAATTGTTTATGAAACCAAAAAGTTTTTCATTATTTTATCATTGGAAATGGTTGCACAAAGTGTCGAAACGTCTATGTTTTCTATATATTCGATCAATGCATACTATCTTTGCAAGATATATAACTGTATTCAGCGGCAGCTCACACATATTGGTCCGACCAAAATAATTCCATCATGATAAGTAGATACAACATTATTGTTCATGATAAGAGTATTTAGTTGTGTATGTCATACGTTAAAGAAATCAAAAATAACGTCAAAATATCATTAGAAAGTCACTTTCCCCCCGAAATGCAAATAAAAAATATCAATATTCCTACGCTCGCTCCCTCCTCAGCCTTTTTTTTTTTTTTTTACGTTTGATAACAGAGAATAATTAGGTCATTCTTCGATTCATATCTTTTCACCGATGAATTGATAATACTATATCAACAATTGTATTAAGTACATGTTTATAGCCCGTTAATTATCATACAATTTGTTCTTAAAGAAAAAATTAATCATTCTGTGTATGTGTATTATTAAATGACGGAATTTTCAATCCCTGGCCTGCTCGTGTGTACACTTTGTAAACTGTAGGGTATGTGTGGCAAAACGAGAACTGGGTTGGAGATTCGGGTTCGTGTTGAAGTTCAGCATATTCCATTATATATAGAACTTGAATAATGTAAGTAATTTCTGCGACAAATACATTAGTATATTTCAGTTATTTTCAAAACAAAAAGTTTTCCATGTTTTCAGTTTAGAATTTTCCGACCCGGACCTGGATCCGGTTGTATCAACATTTAATGAATGATTAAAGCTTCATTAAACTGATCATTTTTAATGTGTCATTAAATTCCGTTGTATCAATGTTTTAATGAACGAATCGGTGCATTAAACCTTCATTAAATTCCTCAATTTTAATGAAGGCAAGGGGGCTTCATTAAGTGGTCATTAAGTATGGCGACCTACTTTATGTTTTGCCCGCTTGGCAGAAGAAGAATCAGTGCCTTTTGTGAGCCTTTTTCACTGCACATTATGGACGAGGAAATTCGAAAATGATACCGTTTTAAAAAGAAAATAATGGACGGTCTGTCGAACCTTCAATATAGACAATAAGACATTCGGAATCACATATACATCACCTACCTTGTCAACAAAATTATAAGTATAAAGATGCTTCTTTAAATCAAATCACAATAGAAATCCCAACTGTAATCCCGGCCCAGTGAATCCAAAATACCTTCGTGTATATTTGTAAACTAAGTGACGTCATTTCTTTCGTCATCATCTATGAGGTGGTTAGGTCTTTGTAACAAAGGTAAACAGTAAAAAAATAAATACAGCTCCTATTTTCAGGTTTTCGGGTATCAATAAATTCATGCGTATGAATAATATATCTGAGATTTTATTCTATATACAGTTACTGTATTAGACCCCCCCCTCCTCCTCCTTTCCCACACACACACACTTTTCAGCCTGCCATCACGAGATATTTGCACAGATTGTCAATTTTTGCATGCTAACATTTTCTTGCATGTAAATTATTATTTTTTTTTTAAAACTTTTACTCATTTTTGAAAAATACTGCCACAAGCCTGATACATTTCACAAGTACATGCAAAAACGAATAAAAAAAATCGCTTCAGAGATATTTTAACGGTTTATTATTTTTTTTATTCATTGCTATTTAGTCAAGATGTTATAAATTATTCATTGCATTTAGATAGATAAAAATTATTTTGAGTAGAATAAAAGAGCCTGTAACCTTCTTTACATATAATATCTTTAAAATACGAGTATATGCCTTTATCAGTTTAATTTTTTTAAATCATGCCTATCAACCCAACATTTTATAAACATATGTAATAGAATTTATTTTTCTTAGAAATCATAATTGAAAGATTCAGTTAGGCCCTACATTTAAGTAAATGATGTCTCATCAACCTATTATTTTATTATATTTTAAGTTATCTAAAAATTAACCTGTGTCTGCATCTAGAAAATTGTCGGAAAGACACTAATGAATTTAAAAACGCAGAAAAATGCAGAACATAATTAGATGAACAATACATGAAATATATGAAATCTTTTTCGCAAAAAAGGTAAACGTGTTTTCTTAATTGTTTGTATTGAACATTCTTCGTGACTTTCCTATTAATGATATTGATACTTTCTTCTATTCGTATTGTTAGAAATAAGTTGAATTTTGCTAGAACCCCCTCCAATTATTATGATTATATCTACATGTACATTCGTTGAATGATTTTCATTTTTTGTGTGACTGAATTTAAGAATTAATTTTATAAGAATAGAACAAAATAGGAGTTAAATGAAGAGAAAAAATCAAAGTGAAATGTAATAAGCACGAATATGAACAGCTTATTGAAACAAAAGAGTTACATTATCAATCAAGTACCAATAGACAAAAGACAGAATAAGAATGAAAGCGAACAGACTTTTGGTTGTATTTCCCTTCCATACCCCCCCCCCCACCCCCACCCCCCGCTTTATCCTTCAAAACACAGACTTCGTTAAATGACAAAACTTTTTTTTTAATTTTGGCGTCATAATTAAAACGATTTCTATTCGATTGATTTAATTAGAGCTTATTTATTATAGGTATTTTGTAAACAAAGGAAAAGTATTAATGCATTGCATTGTGGGATATTTCCCTAATGTTAATAGATCTTTAATGAATTCTTAAATATTTAATGATTCATCAAGTAATAACACTCTAATGGAGGTTTTGTACAACACACTTTAATGCCTTCATTAACTAATGC